GGAGAGGGGCACCTAAAGACAGGCAGCAGAAACAGCTCCCCTTTCTTGGGATCTCTTTCAGGTTACTTCCGGGACAACATCTTGTGCCACTTCTGTGCCAGCATGATCAGCGGGTTGGTGACAACGGCAGCCTCCATGCCTGTGGACATTGCCAAAACCAGGTCAGGGAAGGGGCAATATGGGGGGGGGGAATGGCTTGTTGAGACCATTCCTAGTCCTTGTGAGTCCTGCGGCAGGACTGGACAGCTGCCCTGTGTCTTGTATATGTTTTGCAAGGTTGAGACACAGCTCAAGTCACTTGGAGTTAGGTGCTGCTCTTTGCTGTTCCACTGAGGCCAGGGCTGGGGCTCCTGCAGCCCGCCAGATATTGCTGGACTGCAGTTCCCAGCTGTCCTTCCTCCCTGTTGGCTCAGGGGCTGCTAGAGATCCAATAACACCTCGAAGATGCATGCCCCCTAACCCTAGTTTGGCAGCAGGAGGCACCACTTCCCCAGCTCTCAGAGCCAAAGATCTGAGCTCAAATGGAGAGGGAGGCAGTGGAGTTAGAATCCATTTCAACCTAATGGCCAAACCTCCACTGTTAACTGGTGACATCAGGAGGGTTGTTTTGTGTCCAGTCAGCCCTGCTGGACAGCTGCTAGATGATTTGTGCTATAGCCTCGCACCTCAGGGACAGAGAAGTGGCCAAGGGACACCTTCTGTTAGCAAGTTATCTGTCTTGCTCTCCTATCTGAGATGGGTCGTGCCTGTGGAGTTCAATTTCTGTAGCTGGCTTCTTTTCTATATAACACAATCAGGGTGGTGGTAGTGGTGGGGTTATACCCCAGCCCAGGAGAGCCATTTTCCAGCCACAGAGATCTGGACAGTTGGGCCTGGGGTGATCCCCATAGAATTCATTACTCAGGGTTCCACTTGCTCTCTCACTTGCTATAGGGTAATGGTACTGGTGCTGCCGGAGCTCATCAGCTAAAGGGTGGGTGCTCTCATTTGCTGCAGAATATCTTCTGCATTCATTGACTGCCAATTATCTTAAAACAGTGATGTGATTGAGTTCTTGGTACCAAATGGGGTCTTGGAAGGCCTAGAACGGCAACCTGCTCTGGCTCAGGAGAGGGGCTGG